AGGGCAGGGAGCAGCTGTCAGAGGGAATTGCAGCTGCTCTGCCAAATGGGGATGGGAGCCTGGGGCAGGGAACACCTACCCAGCAGCTCCTGGCTCTCCTCAGCTGCTGCTGTGTCTGTCCCATGGATGGTTTTTTCAGTGGGAGATGTTTCCTGGGGATGCTGTCTGGAGAAAGTCCAGTCCGGGAGGGTGGGAGTGGGAAGGGCAGGGAAAGCCGTGTAGGGCCGGGCTTTAGGGAGGCTCCCTTCGGGTGCCAGCAGGATCTGGAATCCTCACGGTGCCAAACTTGCAGCTCTTGGGAGAGGCTTTGCCCAGTCCAGTTCTTGCTCTTCCGTTGCTTCACTCCAGGAGGAGCCCTGTGGTTCTCTTCGGCAGACAGACAGATGGGGATTCAGGACAGCCGGAGAGGTCCATCCACTGCATCCACTGGATAAGTGACCTGGAAGGACGGGGGGAGGGGATATATCCCATTTATGGCCCAGGACTTTGGTGACCTCTCTGGGACAAAGGCTGGATGCACTTGGCTGTCAGATACTGGAAGGGCAGGATGGGACTGCAGGGAGCCGACTCTGAGCCTCCCACTGAGCTGATCTTTTAAGTCCCAACCCAAACCAGTCTGGTTTCTTGGTTCTGTGGAATAGTGCAGGGATTTGAACAGGACACAAAATGAGGAATTTTCTTTAAATGCGGAATTATTCCTTCCCGATGTCTCCAGCTTGTTTCATGGGGGAATAAAAGGAGAAGGCATGGTGAGTGGTGCGGGAGGCCCGCACCCGGCTGGAGCTGGCTCAGCGCTTCCTCCCTTGTGCTGAGCTGCCTCCGCCGCGGGCAGAGCCGGGGCCGGGGCTGCTGAGAGCGAGAGGGAAGCGGGGAACGGCCCCGCTGCTGCTGGGAGCCACGGGCTGCACCGGGAACAACAACTGCTCCTGGAAAGGAGAGAAATCCCCTTCTTTCCTCTGGGATCTCAGTGGGGCCGCGGGAAAGGGGCTGGCAGCAGCACAGCTGGGATGGGACTGCACTAAATGGCCCTTCAAGGTCCTTCCGACCCAAAGCGTCTGGGATTCCTCAAGGGATGCGCTGAGCCTCCTGCCTCCCCTGCTCTCTCACAGCGCCCCAGCATCAATGCTTTCCTGAGGGCTTAAGGAGCTCCATGAATCCTTCGTGCTGTCGCAAAGAGGCTTCTGTTTTGTTTCCCTCTTCTTTCAGGCTGAACTCCCCTCAGGGGCGCGGTGGCTGATGAGGTGCCCTGGGGCAGAGCGAGGGGCGATGCTGGGCTCGCACCACATCCCACTGCTGCCTCTCTTTGTGTGCTTTATTTACAGTGTCCCAAGGAATGATTTCCTGCTGGGGTGACGTGGATTTTGGCGTGGATTTCCTCTCCCTTCTGTGAACTCCAGCCAGGCTGGGGACTTGAAAGTAAAACGAGATCGTGTCTGGGCAGGGATGGAGACTTGGAAATAGCAATGAGCTGGTTTATAACAACAAAGAAGGAAAAAAAGAGCCTTTGGCCCAGGATTTATTTAGAGACGACAGCTCAGGGCTATGAACGCCCTGGGCCGAGGTAAAAGCAGCTCCTTGGCAGTGGAGATAAGAGGGTCCTTTGGCAGCAACTGCAGGAAGCACTTTGTGTCTGGATTGAATCCACAGGGCGAGGCCATGGGAAATCAGGTCAGTGTGCAGATTCTATCAGTGCTGTGATCACCCCCCACCTCCTAGGCTGGGTTAGAGCAGGAGGGAATCGCAGAATTTTGGAATGGTTTGGGTTGGAAGAGCCATGAAGCTCGTCTGGCTTCATCCCCTGCCATAGCAGGGACACCTTTCCACTATCCCAGACTGCTCCCAGCCCCATCCAGCCTGGCCTTGGGCACTGCCAGGGATCCAGGGGCTGCCACAGCTGCTCTGGGCACCCTGTGCCAGGGCCTCACCTCTCTCACAGGGAATTTCTCCCCACTATCCTTCTGACCCTGTCCTCCTTCAGCTTGAGGTGTTAAGGAAGGGCCAGGAGGCTCTGAGGCCCTGTCACTGCAGGGACACTGCAGGGATGTGCTGCTGCCTGGGGAGCTAGAGCGCTCAGTTTTGGGGGACAGGGTCAGAAGGGATAATGGGGAGTTGTTTATTCTTGTGGCTCTCCCCAGCCTGAGGGAGGTGCTGGCAGAGGAGGCTGCAGAGTTGGTTTAGGGACCATTGACTTTGCTTTTGAGCAGGAGTTACAGTGAACTTGTCAGCAATACACACGTTAAAATAGTGAGTTGTAATTTCCAATAAACAATTTTAACAATAACAGAAAAGTTGTATGAGTAATCTTCAGTACTTTACTCCATTTGCACAGCAGATTTTGTTTCCTTAGAGAACAGTGGTGTGTCCTCACCCAAGTCTTTCCACACTTTGTTCTTTCTGTCCTGGAGCACGTCCTGGGACAGGTACTGTTGGCACAGGTGCCTCAGGCAGTTTTTGTGGAGGCCAGGTTTTCATGCTGCTGGGTTCTCCTGCTGGTGGCCGATCCCCTTGTCCAGGTGGGAGCCTGGCCCTGGCCAGGCTGGGGGTGTCCAGTCCTTCTGCTGGAAGCACCAGGACAGGGAGGGCAGTGGGGGAGGCAGAGGGGCCACAGGGGCTGAGGCTCTGGAGGTAACCTGTGCCAGTTCCTCATAGTGAGGAATTCCAGCAGGGCTCTCCCCAGACAGGGTGAGGCTGCTCTTTGTCCTGATGCTGCTGGAGTTCTCCTTCTCTCATCCACCCACCCACGAGCCCTCTCCTTTCCAGGAAAGCAGGGTGGGCCATTGCCCGCTGGCACCGAGCCCAGCTCTCCCCACTCACTGCTTTCCCTTCTTCCTCCACGGCAAACACGGCCTCTGCTGGCTCCCTTGGGCTGTGTTAAACTCCCTTTCAAAGGAAATCTTGGAACCACCTGCTGCATTTCCTGTAGCCCCTGCTCCCTGCTTCAGCTCTGCTCTCCCATGGCTGCTGCCAGAGGCAGGATAAGCTCGGTGCTCCCGGGGGTGTTTGAGACCTCAGGATGTCAAGAGCCCTGCTGTGGGTCACCGAGGTGGCTGGGACAGCAGGAGGGGGGGATGAGAGCTGGAGGAGAGGGGATGGTTTTAGAATGGAGGGGTTTGGAGTGCTTTTTTTGCTTTGGGCAAGAGCTCAGTGTGCTCCAGGGCCAAGTGCTGCAGAGCCAAGGCTCAGCTCAGCTCCCTCCATCCCTCCAAGGGGACTGGGAAAATGGGGCTCTGCCAAGAGGGGATCAGCCCTGTCACCCCTTTGGAGGCTGCTCTTGGTGCTCTCTGGCTTTGGACGAGCTTTTGGAGGTTCTGGATGAGCTGGGGAATCTTCCCTTGCACTGGGGCCGGTCCAGGTGCTTGTGTGCAGGTGCCAGGGTGGCGCCGTGCTGTGGGGGTTGTATCAACCCCCCTGGGGCAGAAGCCTGCAGGAGATGGGGGCTGGAGAGTGGGAATGTCCAGCAGCTGGGGGTGGGGGCATGTGGGAACTGCCTGGCTCAGCCCCCAGCCCCGGCCAACGATGTGGAGGGCCGGGAGTCAGGCCTGGGAAGCTGCAGGAGGGACGGCAGGAGCTGCCCAGGAACAGCCCATCGGTAACCCCGGGGCCTGGCTGCATCCTGGGCTGGACTCAGCAATCCCAGACTCAAAGAGGAGGAGCACTGGGACCCCCTGGGAGCTGATGGGTGCAGGGGAGGAGCTGGGATGGGCTCAGATTTCATGGGAGCTCTGTAGGAGCTGAGTCCAGTGGGAATGAAGGCTCTGGGTTGAGAAGCAAGAACACATCCCCTTGGGACTGCCTCGGATGTCCATGGGGGCTGTCAGCTGCAGAGCCCCTGGAGGTCCTGTGGGTGCAGGATGAGCAGGAGACTCTGCTGGGCTCTGTTTGGAGCTCTGGCAGTGCCCCAGCCCTGCTCCAACCTGGCTCTGGGTCCACCCTGTCCGGGCTGTGTCCTGGGTGCAAAGGGGTCAGACCTGTGCTGGAGTACAAGGCTTTATTCTGTCGTCCCTGGGAGCCCCATGCCTGTGGCAGCCCACACTGCCACTGTGTAAAATCCCCCCAGTCTTAGTAGGATACAGAGAGTACAGGGGGAGCTGGAGAAGGGGGCTGTGCCCACCCAGTGTCCATGGGCTGAGCCAGCTGGGCCCTGCTCTGCCCTGCCTGAACCCACCTTTGGCCTCTGGGCTGGTGTCCATCACCCCAGGGCTGGTTTGGTCCCTCCAAGGTCTTGCTGTGACAACTGGGCTCACCCAGAGCTGGAATCCTGCAGGGATTGCCAGGGCTGGAGGTGTGAGGGAGTGGGGACTGTGCTGTCCATGAGGGCTGGAGAGGACAAAATCCACACGGGAAGAGGTGCTTGGTCAGCAGCTGTGCTGAGCTCCTGGTCCTGTGCAGCCTGGCTTGGTCACCACGTGCGCCAGTGCCACGTGCCAGGTGTGGTGCCAGGGCTGGCGACTGCTGCGGTGTCACGGTCCTGCCCTTTGCCCTCCCTGCAACCATCGCTGCTGTCGCCCCAGGCTTTCCTCTCCCAAACTGAAACTCCTTCGTTCCCTTTCAGAGGCCGACACTGGACCTGCCCCATCCCCACAAGGTGTGCCCCAGGGGTGCCAGCCCTGTGTCCTGGGGTGCTTCCAGCCCCAGGTCCTGGCACCCACACCCCTGCCCAAGGTAGCATCAGACTCATGGGTGTCACCCTGCCATGGGGACACTTTGTCTTGCAGTGGCAGATGTGGCCCTGGTGCCTTTCCTGCTGCAGAGAGCTGTTGGTAGGTGCTGTGCCACCAGGGCTAGGATGTCCCTCCTTGTGCATGTCCCCTGTAGGCCCTTGGAGACCCTTCCTGGTTGACGGCTGGAGGGTGGCACTGAGCACAGCAGGGCCCTGTGGGCAGCCACCCCTGTGTCCTTCTTGGCTCATCCCTCACCACAAGGGACAAATCAGCCATAAGAACCCTAGGCCACCCGGGCCATTGGCTGCTCTCCAGGGGCAGGTGGGAGAGGAGGGGGTGTCACAGGTCGAGCCGGAAGGCCCCGAAGTAACTGGCGGCCGCGTCACTGGAGTCGATGGCCAGGGAGGAGACGGAGACGAAGAGCTCGTCACCGGCCTTGAGCTCGAAGAGTCCCCCCTGGTAGAGCGCGTGGAGCCCGTAGTCAGCCTCGGGCGCCCAGCACTTGGTGCCCACGCCCTTGAGCAGCAGCACGGGCGGGCTGTGGGCCGGCTGCCACTGGATGCACTGCACCAGCTGCGGGCCCGAGTCGCGGCCGGCGCCGCGGTAGCGGAAGTAGATCTGCGCGTACACGTAGTACTTGCCCGGCTGCTCCACGCGCAGCCGCCCCGCCCGGTACGTCATGTTCTGCACGTGGGACACCAGGCTGCCGTGCCCCCAGTGCGTGATGGCGTGGCGGCACGACTGGGAGAGATTCCCGGAGCGCTGGGAGCGTCCTGCGGGAAGGGAGAGTCGCTGAGCGGAGCGACCTGACACGGTCACACAAGGGGAGGGGGTGGCTCTGACTCCTTCCCCCTTATCCAGCTTTGGAGGGCTGGAGCTTGGTGGTCTTACAGTGAACAGGAGACACCTCTCCCCATCAGCTACCAAACTGTTCTGGTCCCCTGCCCTTTGATCTCTCCCGTTCCCATCTTGGAGACCCAGCAGTGCCCAGAGGGGTTCCCCAACTCACCATCCTGAGCCAGGCTCTGTGGGCGGAGGGTGAGATGTGCTGAGGGTTTCCCAGGTGTTTTGGGAGGAAGTTGCCCCTCCGAGGTGTTGAAGTAGTTCTGCCAGGCCTCTGCAGGAAAGGGACAGATGCTGTAAGAACAGTGTGGGGCCACCCGGACCCATGCCAGCAGGGCAGGGAATGCCCCAGTGACCCACCAGAGCAAAAGGTTATTGAGGGATGGAAAAGTCTTGTCAATCATCAACCAACACATCTGTGAGTGCCACGGCCCTGCTTCCCCAGCCTCTGGACAAATGAACGTGGCTATCCCCCAGCCCATTCCTGGAACGTGTGCCTGTCATGGCAAGTGACAATCCTGGCTCTCCCCTCTCCTGCCCCAGCTTACAGCACCAGTTTGCCCCAGGAGTGGCTGCCCCTGCCACCCCCTGCTGGCCTCCTGGGATCCCAGCTCCCATAGATCACAGCTCCCTGGGTCACAGTTTCCATGGATCACAGCTCCCCGGATCACAGCTCTCCTGGATCACAGCTCCCATAGATCACAGCTATCTGGGTCACAGTTTCCATGGATCACAGCTCCCAAGGATCAGGCTCTGGCCCAGGAGGGACTCACCCTTCACAGCGCTCCTGCGGATGATGTTCTCGGTCACCTGTGCCACAGGGAAGAGAAAGTTCCCTGGTTAAAGGTGACACGGGGGTTCCCCATGCTTGAGCTCCTACTCCAAGCCTCCATCACCTTCCCTGTCACGCTGTCTTTGGGCCCTGCCATCTCCTCCCCATGAAGGGCTTGAGTCCCACTCCCACCTTGAACCATCCTGGCTATTCCCCCCTCCCACTGCTCTGGTGAGGTAGATGGAGAAACTGAGGCACAGGGACAACCAGGAGCTCTCCCATCCGCCCCTGGTCCCAGGCTCACCGTGGCCACATAGGCTTTGATGGTGCTGGCCAGCTTGAGGCAGCCCTGGCTGCTGCTCAGCTTCTCCAGGCTGGAGCCCTCGGGCTGCTGATTGAGCACCTGCAGACACCGCAGCTCCTCTGCGCTGCCCGGAGCCTGGGACTTCAGCTGGGAAGGAAAGAGAGCGTGATGGCAAACTGGGACAGAGCGAGGGAGCAGCTGGGATCCTGCTGGGGTGTGAGCAGGGGGCAGCTGCCTTCAGCCCGGCTCCTCCAGCACCCGGGCGCTCAGAGAACAACCAGGATATTGGGATCAGTTCAGCCTCTGTATCCACAGCACAGCGCTGTGAGGTCAGATCTGGGTTCATCTCTGCCCTCCTGGTCCCCCGGCCGGCCCTGCCCCGGGCCATTTCCCGCGGGAGGGCTGCGGGAGGGCTCGCAGGCTGTTCCTGCACACAGCTGCCCGCCCAGGTGGCAGCGCATTCCCCCGGGATGGGGCTGTTCCCTTGGGATGCCCGCGGCGGGTGCGTGTCCGGGCAGGGCCGCTCGCGCAGCTCCCCCGGGCTGGCTGCGGCGTGTGCCCGCCCGCGGCACCGGGACCAGCCCGGCACGGGAAGCTGCTGGAGCGGCTCCAGAGAAAACCACGGAGCTGTTCCGAGGGCGGGAGCCCCTCTGCCCTGGAGCCAGGCTGGGAGAGCTGGGGGTGTTCACCTGGAGAAGGCTCCAGGGAGAGCTCAGAGCCCCTTCCAGGGCCTGAAGGGGCTCCAGGACTGACTCCCTACTGCCAGCACAGATCCAGTGACCGGCCGCTGAAATTAGCCCAAATTGTTCCACTTCAGCGGTTTTCTCCTCCCTCCGCCTCTTCCTTGGGGCTGTGTCTCCCCATTCCCCTCCTCTCCCCGCCTTTCATGTAAATCCCTCACAGCGGGACCTCATGTGACCCGGGGATGGAGACAAAGCCCGAAGGAGGGCTGGAGCCCACTCCGAAGGATGCTCCGCTGGATCCAGACAGGCTGTTTATTCGCCCTGCATCCGTGGCAGGGCTTATCCTTCTTCCCTGTCTCTGGTGTGTTTTGTGGAATGTCTGGCACTGCAGGACCCTTTTTTTTTTCTTGCCGCACCCTCAGGGATGAGGGCGGCTTCCACGGAGCTGCTGCCAGCCCCGAATTTCCCTCTACTCATGGATCTCCTGACTGGCGTTTCCCTCCCTCTGCTGAGGGGTTGTTGTGGGTCGGAATCAGCAGCTGAAGGGAGGGGCTGGCGAGGCTGTTGAAAGGATCAGACCGTCACGGCCAAGTTTGGGAGTGGTTTTGCCCGACTGACCCCGTGGGAGTAGGGAATGGCGGGATCCCAGCACAGCTGGTGGGGTTGCACTGGAGCAAGCAAAGAGCTGCTGGAATGGGGGTCCCAGCATCTCACAAAGGGGGTGAGGAGGATTTGGGGGTCCTGGAGTATAGAGGAGATGGAAATGGGGGGAGGGAGAGATGAAGCCAGAACGAGGGGTCAGTGGCCTGAAGCCCAGGGGAGTCCCCCCGCACCCCCATCTGCGGCTGGAGACTGCTATGGGATCGCAGGGCAGAGCCCCCCTCTCGCAGTGCAAACCTCAGCTCCAGGCGGGGCCCAGGACAAAGGCGCCGTCTCTCCACATCTGCATCGGCGACAGTGTCCACCCCTCCGCCCACGCCTGCACAGCTGGATCTGCAGCTCCGGGCGGAGCTCGGGCAACGTCCACCCCCAATCCACATCTGGACCCGCGGCTCCCTGGGGAGCTAGGGCAGTGCCCACCCCCCCAATCCACATCTGGACCCGCGGTTCCCTGGGGCGCTGGGGCAGTGCCCACCCCGCAGCCCGCACCTGGACCAGCGGCGGGCAGAGGAGAGGTCCGGGAGCGGGCAGAGCCTTCCCGCAGCCGCCGGGACTCCTGGGGTCGCAGCCCCGCTCCGGTCCCGGGACAAAGCTCACCTTGGAGATGGCCATGGTGAAGTAGACGAAGAGGCCGGTGGTGGAGGCGATCTGCAGCGCCAGGATAGCCATGACGGCCACGCTGCCCCACAGCGGCCCGCACCGCCGCCGCCGCTGCCCCCGCGCCGCACCGGGGCCGCCATCCGGACCGGCACCGGGACAGTGGCCGGGAGCGGGCCCGGCAGCGGCACCCTCGGCCAGCATGGGCGTGTCGGAGCCGCCGCTGTCGGAGCGCAGGTACTGCCCGGCGCCGGGCGGGTGCGGGGCCATGGCCCGGCCCGGTCCCGGTCCCGCTGCCCCGGGCTCGAGCGCGGCGGGACGGACGGACGGACGGCGGGGCGGGGCGGGGGGCGGGGTTGGGGGCGGAGCCTGTGGCAGAAGGGGAGGGGTCTCCCGTGGCCACCGAGGGGACAGCGGGGGCCGTGGTGGCCTCGGCGCTGCGGCTCGAGAGGCAGCGGGGCCGCGGGGACGGTGCGTGTCCCCAGAGAGCCCCAGAGAGTCACTTCACGGGTACACAGAGACAGGACACAGGGAATGGCTTCACTCCGCCAGAGGGCAGGGATGGATGGGATATTGGGAACATATTCTCCTCTGGGAGGGGGGCAGGCCTGGCACAGGTGCCCAGAGCAGCTGGGGCTGCCCCTGGATCCCTGGCAGTGCCCAAGGCCAGGTTGGACGTTGGGGCTTGGAGCAGCCTGGGACATTGGGAGGTGTCCCTGCCATGGCAGGGGTGGCACTGGGTGAGCTTTAAAGTCCCTTCCCACCCAAGCCATTCCATGATTTATGAATATGCTTCATGCCACCATCACAGGACAGTGTGGGAGCTGCTGGGGTGACCCCAGGTGAGAAGACCCCAGGGCTGAGAACAGAGGGTCTTAGGGCTGGATGACACGACCCGAGCCAGGTTTTGGTGATGGGCCTCACATCAGCTCTGGCCACCAGCAAAGGCTCAGAGAGGTGCAGGTTTGCAGGACGGGGGGCAAGAACTGCTGAGCATCTCCTGGAGGCCTTCCTGGGGGGGCCGTGCCCACTCTGCCCTCCTGGACTGGGCACAGGCCTGCCCATCCCTGCTGAGCCCCAGGCTCTGTCCTGCTGCTGGGTCACATTCCTATTGCTCCACAATAGAAACGTGGAGCAGGTTGGAAAGCAGAAAGATGGGACAAGCTGCTGTTCCCTGGTGCTGCTGTGGCGGCTCCGTGCTCAGGTGAGTCTGTGGCTCCAGGTGCTGTTACCTGTGAAATGAAAGTGAGACCTGAGAAAGCACAGGAGCACTGATATCCCTGCAGAACCGCTCCCTCCTGTCCTGCTGGGTTCTGGGGAGGGTGGGTGGCCTCAGCCCAGACTCCAGCCAGCTCAGCAGCCCCCAGACCATCATGGAGGTGGCTGCCCCATGGACTGTCCCCTCCCCAGGATGTCTGACCCTGCAGTGTCCCCAGAAGCACCATGAAGCTAGGGCTCTTCTGAGCCCCAGGGGCTCAGAGCAGGGGATCTCCCACCCCAAAGCATCTGTCAGGCTCAGGACTGATTTCCCTGCCTCTCTGCCAGCTCAGTGTCTACCCAGTGCCAGCGCCCCATCCCTGCCCTGGCACGGAGATCTTTCCCTGGGCGAGATGTCTTCCATGGAGTCTGGGAAGGGGGCTGATCTGGGAGGAAAAGAGGTGACTAATTGTGTCTAAAAAAATCCCCTGACGACTCAATCCTCCTGGTTGTTCTCAGGAAAAGGGCTCAGGACCTGCTGAGCCAGGTGAGGGGGGAAGAGCTGCAAAGGGGACATCTGGGGAACAGCTGCCAGCCTGGTCTAGTGGAAGGTGTCCCTGTCCATGGCAGGGGGTGGAATGTGGAATGGGATGGGTTTCAGATCTCTTCCAAACCAAACCATTCCACAATTCTATGATTTGCCATTTGGGACACAGATGTTTGTGCTGAAGGAACCTGGGACCACTGCTCTCTGTGCTGCTCCGTGGGATGGGACAGGGGCATGGCTGAGCTCTGCTGAGGGGCAGAGGGAAACCAGGAGCAATCAGAACACTGGAGCCTGGGGCTGCTCTCTTGGAGAGAGAAGGTTGGTCTGTGAGTCAGGGCAGACCAGAACTGGAGCTGTGCAGAGAAAATTGGGTGGGGGCCAGGGGGAAAAGCATGCCTCAATCCTGGCTGAGGAGTTGTTTTTCACTTCTAATGTTTCCTGGTCTGTGCACTGGGAGAGCCGGGTCAGGCAGAGCCTGGAATTCTGTTTCCTCAGTGGCCTGTGGTGCAGAGCAAGTGCAGGGGAGCAGGAGAGGGGTTTGTTGGGGTTTCCTGGTGCTCTCAGTGAGTCTGGGATGGGAGAAACTAGGCAGGAGATGCCGACATGGACGTGGAGCTGCGTCTGGGATTTCCCAGCCTGTCCCTTGGATTCGCTTCAGTTTGCTTCAGGCAGGATGGTGGAACGTGCAATTTTAGTTGTTCTCCATGTTTCCTGGGATGGCCAAAGCAGACCCCCTGAGCTGGGTCAGTGCAGGATGCTCCTCCCGGGGAGGTCCCAGGGCCGGCTCCTTTCAGCCCAGCCCGGCGCTGGCTCGGCAGCTGATGACTCCGAACAGGGCTGACCTCACGGTCCTCCCTCGGGAAACGGCAGCCCCTGCGATGTGAAGTCATCGCGTGCGGCTCAGGAGCTGCTGTAACCTCCCTGGAATGTGCCCTCAGATGTTTGTCTTTCGATTAGAACCCATCAGTTCCTGTGCTGTTTTTTGGGAAAAACCTCTTCCTCATCACACCGCACTTCCAGCGGGAGGCTCAGGCGTCCAACCTCCTCCCTCCAACCCTGGGAGCACCCCAGCCCTTCCCTGGCTGTCTCCTGCCCGCGGGCTGGGGCCAGCGTTTGTTTGTCCCTGTTATCACAGAGGAGGTGGAGACATTCCCTGCCTGGTGGCATCGGAGCTGCTCCAGAGCTGCTGCAGGCTCACACGTGCCAGCTGGAGGGATGGAGGGATGGGTGGTCACCCAAGTGGGACGGGACATTGGCTTGGACGGGGACAAGCTGATCCTCACAGCCCTTCCTGGCCTCTGGCTGGTGGAGGTTGGGAGCCAAGGCATAGGGAGAGAGGGAAAAGAGGAGCAGAAGGGCTCTGTGGGGACCCAGGGGCGCTCCCTGCACTGCTGGTGGGAGTTCGGCAGGGACAGGATGGATGGAGGAGCCCCGTAAAACCCTGGACATGCGAGCTTTCCCTGGAGGGATGAGGAGCAGCCTCTGTAACATCCCAAGGCAGGACAGCAGCTCCCGAGACATCCATGCCCCGGTCAGGAGCGTCCCCGCACTCCGGCGATGGATGACAAGCAATGACAGGACAGACAATGACAGGCACAATGACAGGCAATGAGAGGCAAGTTCTGCTGCAGCTCCTTCCCTGGGCTGGGCTCCCCGGTCCCAGCAGCTCCTGGCACAGCTGATCTCCTCGCTCCCTCTAGTGGGATTGGGATGGCTGCGTGGGCTCCTGCCTTGCCTGCCCACACCTGTGTCCCCGTTCCTCCTCTTGATGTCCTCCCGGAGAACATCCCCACGGGATTTTTTTTTCCCCTGCGACAAAGCCCCCCGCACTTCCCAAGCTGCCCAACCTCCTGGGGAAGGAGAAAAACATTGTCCCGATCCCGCCTGGAGATTCCGAGTTGAATCTCCTGCAGGAGCAGCGCCCCAGTCGTGTTCCGTCCTTCCCACAGCCCTGCCGGGAGCTGGAAGGGCTGCTCCAGGAAATGGTTAAAGCCCCGGGTTTTGTGGCTGAGGTGGGATCCTGAGGAGAGGGAACACGGTGAGGCCATTCCCCCGGTGCCTCCGAGCTGGGATTTGGGGGTTTTACACCGTGGCAGGTAGAGGAGGGACGGGAGGAGGCAGCACCTTGGGGGGTTCTGTGTGTTGGGTTTGGAAGTCCTGTAAAGGGAAGAGGGACGGAGGGGAAGGAGGAACAGAGGAAGAGGGGAGCAAGGGAGAGGAGAGGCGGGAGAGGGAAAGGAGTGGAGGGGAAGGGAAGGAGAGGAGGAGAAAGGCGGGAGGAAAATAGAAGAAGCAGAGGTGGAGTAGAAGAGAGACGAGTAGGTGAGGAGGGGAAGGAAAGAAAGGGAGGGAGAGGAGGGAAGGGGAGGGGAGGAGAGGAAAAAAGAGGAGCAGGAGGAGGAGAGGAGCAGGGGGCGGAGGGCAGGCCCCGCGCGGTCCCGCCCAGAGGAGCTGCCCCAGGCTGGTGGCGGAGCTGTCGCCCGGCGGCCCCGCAGATGTTCCCCGTCCCCTTCCTCCTCCCCCTCCTGCTCGCCCCCGGCAGCACCGCGGCCGCCCCGGGGGTCACAGGCGAGTGTCAGCCCCGGGGCCGGGGTGGCCGGGACGGGTCGGTCCCGTCCGGGTGCCCGGCTCTGCCCCGGCCGTTCTGGGCAGGTTTGGCCGAACTGGGCCGCGGGGGGAGGCGGGCGGGACCCCCTGTACCCCCTCTCATGGAGCCACTCCTGGCTTTGGGAAGCTTTTCCTGGCGCCTGATTTAAGACGCGAAGGCGACTCCAGGCTCGGGCGCGCCTTAATCCCGGAGAAAAGCTTTTAGGGGAAGGTCGGGAAGGGACTTGCGGCTTTTCTCGGCTCTCAGCGCAGGTTCCCGGCAGGGGCCCGCGGGGGGGGGGGCTGTGCCCGGGGGTCCCACAGCTCCGTCTGTGCCCCCTAAAGCAGGAGGGAGCATTTCCATGGCTCTGCTGACAGATTTGGGGCTGTGGGTGGGTGAAAAGCTCAGCAGGGCCCGGCCAACGTGGCTTTAGCCCCAGAGCATGGGCAGGGGGGGATTCTGCCCCTCAGTGAGACCCTGGCTGCAGAGCTGCCCCAGCCCTGGGCCCAGCACAGGAGGGACCTGGAGAGAGTCCAGGGGAGGCCGCGGAGCTGCTCTGAGGCCCAGAGCCCCTCTGGAGCCAGGCTGGGAGAGCTGGGGGTGTTCAGAGAAGAAAAGGATCCAGGAGAGCCCCTTCCAGGCTCCTCAGAGCCCTTTCCAGGGCCTAAGGAGGCTCCAGGAGAGCTTGGGACAAGGGATGGAGGGGCAGGACAAGGCGAAAATGCCTTCCCGCTGCCAGAGGGCAGGGTTAGATGGGATACTGGGGGAAATTCTTCCCTGTGTGGGTGGTAAGGCCCTGGCAGAAGTTTCCCAGGGCAGCTGTGGCTGCCCCTGGATCCCTGGCTGTGTTCCAGGCCAGGTTGGACATTTGGGCTTGGAGTAGCCTGGGACAGTGGAAGGTGTCCCTGGCCATGAAACAGAGTGATCTTTAAGGTCCCT